TCTTATCTTTAGTCTCCAGATATTAACAACATTGCCTTATCAAAACTCATTTTCATTTGCCTGTCGTCTTAACCGTTTAGCGCGAGAGTCCAGAACGAATTTGACAGTTTGAATTTCCGGTGATGGCCGAGAGGGGAGGAAGATGGAAGAGAGGGCTGTCGCTGTGATTTATGGATTTCATAAACCTGTTCTCTGCTCAGCATGGGGTGCCTGGGCGATAGTAGGAGGGTATGTTTGAGGGTGAGGAAAAAGTATGGGCTCAGGGGGCAACCTTGTCACAGCCCCGAGTCAACTACTGCTCCAGTCAAAACTAATGTAGTGACTTGCTCATCTACCCCCAACTAAAGAGAGCTGTCATGTTTGTGCCATTGTAGATTTTTAGTTTTTATTGTGCAATCTAAGGCTGCACAACATTACACAGTGATCTATATTAGTTAATGCAGTGTAGTTAATGCAATGAGTTTCAAAGGAGTACAAATGTTTTTTAATGAGTTTGCAATTCACCCTTTTCCACCATTGTAGACCTGTGGATTGAAGAAAATTGAGAAAGGTGCATTGTGTAATTTTTCTGGTGTAGAGCCTGTTAAATGCTTTTCTCCATGGAGATGTTATTGCTTTGTTTAGAATGTCTCACAGTATCACATTAAACAAATATATATTGCATTTATTCAATTACAGGTGTTTTTTTTGTTTTGTTTTTTTTCCCTCAAAATTACCACAAAACATGGATTATTACTGCGAGTGGGCCCACTTCTCCACAGATTTGACCTGTAACTTGGCCTGGTGATGTGGCCTGCCTATCTCCATAGAGATAGTTAAATTAAATGCCATAGTGTAAAACTTTCCAGAAAAAAAACAACATAGCAGATGGCGGACCCCTACCAAAAAGTTACATGGTGCCCCTTTAAATTAAAGGTACAGTGTGTAATTTTCTGTAGGTGGCTAGTAAATGAAGTTATTTTCATTGTAATTTAACTGTAACTCACTATTACTCATTGTATCTTTAGAAATTGCAATACTTACATACACATTAATATTGATGTGGTGAGGCAACTATTTTGCCAGCTCGATTCTCATGATCAGGATCCTGGGTCAGATCTAGAGAGAGACCACTCAGATTGCCATAAGGTTACCAACTGCTACTGCTCACTGCCAAGTGCATATTTCAAGTATTCTGTGGGCTGAATTATAAGACATTTAATGCAAAGAAATACTCTTTTTCACACTTGTTTAGTCCCATTCTATTTCAGGTTTTCTTCCAGGTTTATCCTCACTTTAGTTCCACCCTTATAGTAGCATGTGGTTTCTCTGATGTAATGTTGTATTGTAAATGTTATCAACATCATAATGTTGATGAGTTCTTGAGTAAGACACTTCTTCTCAACAATATTAAAGAGTATAGCGCTGTATATCAGTAACACTATATTTTATTTAGTTTTACCAAATGTATTATTATGTTAAACAAATCACTTTATACTTATTGCAGTTGTGATTAATTGCTGTGACTTCTCCAGTCTTGGCTCAAAACCTATAGGATGACTGGTACTACATGATTAGCAGAACGGTTCAGACAATAACACTACACACTGAGGGGTTGAGTGATATTTTAATTTGGAGTAACACCAGCGCATTGATAGAGTCCACTTAAACATGAGGTTGGTAGTTTGATTCCCACTGTCAGCATGATACAGGCCCACCATTATTGTCTTCAAATACCTGAATATATGTGTGAATGTAATAACTATAGCAGCAACCTGCATGCCAAGAATGTGATACAAGAGGTACCAGATAGCATTTTATCTTTATATATATTTTTTTTTAAAGAGATGGTATTATGGGTCCCCAATGCTCCCACTTGACTATTCTCCATAAATATTCACATCAACTTGACAAAGCTGATGTGATGTGCAGTAGTTTCATTAGCGGCATGAGTGACTTAGAGCAGGGAGCAAAGTGAGCATACGTTTTTTAGTGAATTTTAGTGAATAGCATTTTCAAAATAATAAAAGGTAGCATGTTAATCTAAATATGTTATGTGTTAGAAGTTAACACCCAACAGAAGCAAAATACCCCTTTTCATTTAAATTACTGAAGTAAATATGCATCAAGATAGAAGTAATCGCTCCATTGTAGTTCCCACCCCTGGCCGTGTTGTGTAAAAGCAGGCGTATCATGTGGTTGGACAGGCCCCTGTGCTGTATGTGTCTGCAGACATGGCAAAAGGACCAAAGCACCAGGCCTCAGCACTGCATGGATTTATCAAAATCCTCACTCACAATCCTCACTCTCCACTTTCCCGTGTAAGCTCTTAGAGGAGACTGTGTGCAAAATGGTCTTTCTTAGAATTTCTGCCATGTGCAATTTCAATTTTGTGCTGTCTTAAAAACATGAAAACCAAAAGTAGTTAATTCTAAATGGTTTGCAGTGGTTCAAAGTTAATTATTCACCAAGATGAGTTTATATGCACCTTACACACCTTTCAGAGACCAGAGTTTTGCCATCAGGGTAAAGCAATGTGGTGGCACGGTGGTTAGCAATCTTGCCTATAAGAGTACTGGGGCAGACAAATTTTGTAGCAGACAACTTTTGCTCAAATACATGGGAAAAATGTAGGCCCTTTGCACATGTCAAAACATACTTATTTACAGCATTTTTGCATTTCTTCATGTGTTTAATATGGACAGTGAGTATCTGCATTGGTAATTTTACGTCTTATAATTTAAAGTTGCACTCATGGAGATGTTATTGCTTCAGTTGTAACTTTCCACATAATGTAATTTAACTTGTAAAGAATACCTTGAAAAAACTAGTGTCCTCTCCAAATATCTGACCTGCAACTTGGCTTGGTAGCGCCACTTGCTTTTCTTCTTGGAAATTTTAATGTTATATTGTGAAACATACCAGAAATACTGCACCTTTAAAGTGCTACACTCTGTTTCTTAGTATTTGCATTAGGAAAGAAAAACACACAGCTATTTTTTAACCAACTCAGCATGCTAATTAATGATTAATGCTGTCAAAATGTGCTATTTTCTGTAGCAAGGTTCTCTAGCCTGTAGCTCTCCAACCCACCCAAATAATTCCCCAAAGGGTTTAAGAACTCATATTACAATGAATAATTCAGATTTCATCCATGTGCATTACCACTGTAAATATCTGAGTATACTTAATCCTAACATTGTACTCTTATAGTTTATTAGTTTATGCTTTATATCCATCTAATTGTACCCCATCTATGGCTAGTTGCACTGTGATTAAATAAAGTGTTCTATAGAATTTCTTGTAATTGGTAAAAGAATTGGTACAGAAGTAGCTCTCTGCCATTTTCGTTTTGGACTTTGTCTCCATGGGGAAAAGGTAGGAGGCCCCTGGAGTACAGAAATTCCCAGAATAGGCCTGGGGATGGTTTGCAGACTTGAAAAAAAAAAAAAAAAAAAACATGACTGATGGCTTTATATTAGTGTTTCCCATAATCATGTGTTTGGTCGTAAACATGGACACAGCGGAATTTAGTGCAGCATTTTGGATCAGATGTTTTCCCAGAGAAGCATGAGGAGCACTGGACTGGACTGAGGGCTCCAGGAGCGACAGGCATTTATAGGGACACAGCAAATAGACTGAGTTTACTGGTATAAACACAATAGAAAGGCCATATTAGTTATACTTAATACTCCTGCATTTGTTGCATTTAGCCATGTTATAATGCTGTTCCCTCATCATCAACAACTTACATTCAATTTTATTTTGATTGATGGATCCATGTTTGAGATAGTCTTTGCCCTTTTATCTATCTCTGTCAGCACCAAGAATAAACAGTAGGAAAATAAACAAATGAAACCCTTATCCCTGAGAAATGGTATGCTAAAAGAGACGTGTTTGTTGTCAACACACTTTGACCACAGAATGAGACAAGACAACTTTAGATTAATGGATGAAACAAGTGTGAATGAAGCTAAATTCAACTCCAGGTTTGTTTTTGATAGAGGGACAACAATGTAAAATCAAATGGTTAATCCATAGCATGTGTTCTTCAAACATTTGATTTGATTCCCACCAGCAGCATGACACAGGCCTACTGTTGTTTCCTTGGGAGTGGCAGTTCACCCATCCTACCCACTGGAATGTGTGATTGCAGCAATTATAGCAGCAACACATGCCAGAAACATGATGAACAAGCAGGAAGATACGACAGAGGAGTTTATTTATTTTGGGCTATTTTTTGCAACAAAAAAGTAATAGATAATCAATGCTTTTGGGCAAGGCACTTTACAATATTGTCCTCATGAATGTGTGATTGCAGCAACTATATGTGTGTAAAATATGTATGTAAAAGTATTGTTTTTTTCATTTAATGTTCTATATTTTTAAGGTGCACTATGTATTTCTGATCTCTTACTTGTTCTCACAGAATGTCACAGGTGTTCATCCACATTATTTCATTGTGGGTGCTTTTATTGTTTTGAAATTCTTTGAAGAAACATTCATCCTTACTCTGACCAGAGCTGCCTGTCCACAGGTCTGACCAGGTATCACCGATTTGTCTCCATTGGAAAAGATTAGTTTAAAGCCACTCTACATGATTTATACTGTTTAAAAAATAAATTAAAACAGCATTTGTTAATTTTAACAGTTTGAACAGTGTCCTAATTACTCATCATTAAGATTTTGTAAGTACTTCTCACAACCAGAACAAGAGTTGTACAATATATCTGTACTGGGGCAAAACATATGCTCAAATACATGGAGTAATATCTCCGTGGAGAAAGCAGGTGGCATGCTCCCCACCAGACATTAGTGACATAATACATCCTTAACTACTATCTTATCATCTACCCCATTTCTCACGTAATGTGACTTGTGTCCTGCAGGGCCTCCGTAGCAGTCTGCCCACGTCTCTCACTCTGCGTCCTTCCTAGAAAACTCATCAATACCTGAGTCGATAAACTGTTTGTCCAGAGGCTCTTATCTCTCCCCTCTGCTCTATCTGCCCTCCCCCACAGCCCCCTTCTCTCCCCCGGGCAGCGAGACCGTGGTCAAGTTCGACTCCCAGGGTGACGGCATGGGGCGCTACAACATCTTCAGTTACCAGCGGGTGGGCGAGCGGCTGGGGTACGTGCCAGTGGGGGAGTGGGTGGAGAGTCTGAGCCTGAACGGGCATCTGATCCAGTGGCCCCGGGAAGCAGTGCCCACCTCCCAGTGCAGCGACCCATGTGCCCGCAACGAGATGAAGAAGATGCAGGCAGGTATGAGACAGGGAGTTATTTATCTTTTATATTTTTTACTGTAAAGCACTAGAAAAGCACTTGTGATGGGGAATACTGGTGATTTATTTCTCTGATACCACTTTATCAAATCAGATACTTAAGGGACCCTGTAGTCTGTAGACCCTGTAGTAAAAAAATAAAATTTAATAAAAATCTGTATATGGACATACGAAAGCTCAGAACCTCCAGAATTCCTTCACTGAGCTACAGAGGCTGCACTAGCACTGACTCATAATAGCCTGCACATGATGGGATTTAGGTAGTGACCATTCAGATCAGAGAGAGTCATTTTAAGTTTAAACAAACTGGATTTCAGCATTGAACCTGGCAACCCAAATGAGAGACTCACGTGAGGCTCATTTTGCTTTCAGAGTGGATAATCATTTTGAGAACCTAAACTTATGTTATACCATAAATAAATGGTTACTAACTACTAATAAATGGTAACTAAGAATAAATATAACAGTTCTCAGTAAATTTTATGTTTGATTTGAACATGTTTACCTCATGTCCAGGAACAAGGTTAGGTACATACACTCATGCAGTTCCTTTAATGTTGATGCTAGATACCAAAAGGATATATACAATTACACTAATAGGACAAGTTTTCATCTTTATCAGAATCATATGGGCACATGGTAACAATAATGAAACAATTGTATGATGGAAATTCTACAAAAAGACTACAAAATTAAGAAAATATTTATAGTATTATAGTGGTATCCCAATTGGTATTGAGTATTGACAGTTTTCCTGTGTATCATAATTGAGCCTTGTTTCATGGCTCCTCTGCTGGTACTTATCTGGAGAAAAACTTGCTGCATAGTGCTATTAAACATAGCTTTAGAGGTATTTGATCCAGAAATATTAATCAATAAAAGTACAGATTTTTATTTGAGGATGGCATCTTGACAATTTTGTGAAAATTATTGACAGTTTATGTTTGTTTATATAATACAAAAACACAGATGGACAGTACAATCTGCACTACAATGAAAAAAAAAGACCACTTATGATTTGTTTTGGAAAATATAGTATTTGTTTCTTATTCTAAGTTATCTTGCTCTGCGCTCTATCTCTAATGTAAGACTCAGACAGAGGCGCCCCATTGATTTCCCATTATGTTCTGACAACAACAGGGCCCAGTGTAATTCAGCAGGTTACAGTTAGAGGCAGGCCCGGTGTGAACAATAGTATATTTAAATTAACAGATTTTCTCCTTTGCGACATTGAGTTTGTGCAATACATTTCTCATTTTTATGCGATCAGACAGAGCAGAGATATTGAAGTAGCCAGGCCTGAAGTTTAGAAAAGAATGTCTATGTGGTTTTGTAGTTACATGAGTCTCCCTAATATTCTTGCCTGGTTGTCAGAGGTGTAGAGTAGCCAAATTTTTGTACTTGTTGTAAGAGAAACAGTACTTTAAAATACTAGTACTAAAGTAGAAATAAAAGTAGTGTCCCTTATAATTACTAACAGTGAAAAAGTATTTGGAGATACCACTACTGAACTACTGAGTAACTGTTAGGACTTTTTGTTACTGACAGGATTTATGTATTAATGCAATAGGACAGACTTACTATATCTGAAAGTGTAAGGAGCACACACGTTCAAATAAAGCTTTTGTCACTTGTAGACTTAGTCACAGTGAGAAAAGTAACCAAAAAATTTACTCAAGTAAGAGTACTGTTACACTCTCAAATATATTACTCAAGTAGGAGTAAAAGCAGAATACTCAGAGAAGTACAATTTCAAGCACATGTAAGTAAGTAAATGTATTGTAAGCAAATATAACTATGTCCTACCACCTCTGCTGGTGTGTGTGTGCAGGGGAGTACTGTTGCTGGATCTGTACTGCGTGTGAGGCCCATGAGTACTTGTCAGATGAGTTCACGTGTACGCCCTGTGCCCCGGGACAGTGGCCCACTGAGGACCTGAGCGCCTGCTACGACCTGCCTGAGGACTACATCATGTGGGAGGACGCCTGGGCAATCGGACCCATCACCATCGCCTGTGTGGGGTGAGCAAGGGCCAAGGAGAGAGGGGATCGAGTTAAGCCTGTCATGGTCACAAATTTTGAAGCACGAAGTTTTACTTTGTTGTTTTATTCAAATTTACATTTCAGTAAAAGTTAGGATTAGCTTTGAGATGCAATCACCTTCCTTTTTACAGGGTCCTCTAGTAAAGCATTCTACATCTCAAGTATTTGAGATGTAGTGACATCCACCCACAACTCCCTGTCCACCGCTTGATCCATGAGTGAGTGGAACGAGCCAGGGTGCTGTTGTGCACTGAGCTAATAGGACAACAGCAATTTTGTAAATGGTGTTCTCAACCAGTAAGTATAGACTCTAGACTAAAGTGGAACTAAACACTAAATCCACTTTTTTAAAATAGTGGTCACTGGACTAAATCCAGTTTTGCTATTAAGCTGTGTAGATGATGTTTAATGGGATTACCTACTGTCCGTTGTAATTTCTCCAGCGTGTACTGCCTCCAGTGGCCACTGGAATTTCAAGTACTACATGACATCATGTAAGACTGCCCTGAAACAGACCGATGTTTCTGATTATAAACAACTGATTATAAGAGTACAGTTTAAAATTCTGATACTTCACAGACCAGTCATGCTGTATACCCCCAGACCCTGCCCTTCCTCCCTCCTCACTCTTTGCTGTAGAGTTTAGCAGCTATATTTGAAATGTGGTTTTTGGTAGAGATAATATGTTAATAAAAAAAATGCTAACATCTTCCTCCCTCTACCCCCTGTCCCCCTTGCCATCTCCAGCTTCATGTGCACAGGGCTGGTGGTATGGGTGTTTGCTCGTCATAATGACACTCCCCTGGTGAAGGCGTCCGGAAGGGAGCTGTGTTATATCTTGCTGTCGGGAGTCTTCATGTCCTACGGTCTCACCTTCCTCTTCCTTGCCAAACCTTCTCCCGCCGTCTGTGCCCTACGCCGTCTGGGCCTGGGCACCTCTTTCGCCGTGTGCTACTCCGCCCTGCTTACCAAAACCAACCGCATCTCACGTATCTTCAACGGCGTCAAAGAGGGTGCGGGACCAGCCAGGCCTAGATTTATCAGCCCCTCCTCTCAGGTGAGGGACTGGCCAATAGGGTGTGTTGTAGAGTCCCTATAGTTTAAACTGAGCAGGAGTAGTCAGAATTCTATGGTGGAATTTGTTGTTTAAAGAGAGTCTTTTTTTTTCTTTTTTTTTTAGCTTTCTACCATGTTATAATATTGGTTCCTTACCAAAAACATGTCTGAGGAAGTTTTAGATGTCATCCATACATGTTCATCAATGCTCCCAAACAGAAATTATCCATAAATATACAAAAGCATCATAAAGGCTGTGCACAACAACTTGACAAACCCAATATGATGTGAACTAGTTTCATTAAAATGTTAATACATTGTTTTGGGTGAACATACCAATAAAAAACATGGTGACGTAGTAAGTAAAAGCCCTCTTCTTTAACTGTCATTGCAGGTTTGTTGACCTAGTCTATGGTTAATATCTCTGTAATTACTGGGACTATCCACAAGAAAGGAAAAAAAAAACTGTCACAAAGTTCTTCTTTGTTAGTATAAATAAACAAAAGTGAAATATTGTGCCATTATTCATTCCCAGTGGTGTGATTGTTGTCAGTTGAAAGGACTTCAAGCCAAAAGATTATTATGACACGTTTGTGGAGCCAATCCCAAACAAATACTGATAAGTTGTTGTTTTTTTATTTCATTTTATTGATAAAGGTGCATTGTGTACTTTTCCGGTGAGGTTTCTGCTTCCATGGAGAGATTATTGTTTTGCCTGGAATGTTCCACAGTATGGCATTAAATTATCTAACATCCATTTATCCAGTTATGGGTGCTTTAGTTGTTAAAAACATTCTTACAGTGAGTGGAGTCAAATCTCAACAGACCTGACTCTGACCCTGACCTGAATCTAAATTAGCTTGGTGGCATCTAGTGCTTGTCAAACGTCATACTGTGGGACATTTCAGGCAAAGCAATAAAATCTCCACAGAGACAAGAATTGAGAGTAAAGAAATTTATTGGGACATGTTTTGGTTCTCAATTTTTGGTATAGGTCCTCTGGATGGGGTTAGTCCTAATTAAGTCCTAGTTTAGACCTTATATGAGTTCAACAAAGCACTGGTTTGTGATGGGTTAAGTCGAGGGTTCATAAATGGTCAACACTTTTTATAGATAGTTCTTGTAAACTGTTTCATAATAATTTACCTTGAAAACAAATTAGAAAAACGGTTAATAGAAATTTTCAGAAACAAATTAAACTTTCAAAAGAATGGTGTACAAAGGGCTGAAAAAAGCAATCTACACCAAATCTTTTTTCGTTTTAGTTTCTATGGCTATGGCTCCTGTGTAACTCCTGGAGAGTGCACTACCTGCTACTATCTATGGAGAAGCTATAACTTTGTCAGAAATGCCCCACAGTATGCCATTAAACTTGTCTATCTCCATGTAACCAAGCAGGTGGCCCCACCAGGCAAAGAAGATGACAGACCCTCCACTAGAAAAGTTACATAATGTTCCTTTAATGTACATGTAATGACATGAACCTTTACATGTGTCCCCAGGTGTTCATCTGCCTGAGCCTGATCTCGGTACAGCTCCTCCTGGTGTCTGTATGGCTGCTTCTGGAGGTCCCAGGCACGCGCAGGTTCACTCTGCCCGAGAGGAGGCAGACTGTCATCCTCAAGTGTAACGTGAGGGACTCCAGTATGCTCCTCAGCCTGGTCTACGACGTGCTGCTCGTGGTTCTCTGCACATGGTCAGTCTGCTGTCAAAGGAACTGTCTGTAGACTATCAAAATATCATAATTTATTTTAACTATCATAACAAAGAATTCAAATGTATGGTCTATCTATTTATTTTATTAGGTAACTACCATACTCATAAAAAGCAATATATTGAAAATAGTTACCTCCTCTTCAAATGACTCCTTAATAAAATATAGAACCATATTATATAATTTAACATAGGATGGAACTGAAAATGTATAAAAAAAAAAAAAACTTTGAAATTTATGAAACACATTAATCTAGTGTTGTCACGATACTTTACCAAAACTCAAAATTCTCTAGTCCACCTTGTGATGTGAAGTGCTGTTTTAAGTGTACTTTTGTAGTCTGTCATCATTAATGTACTATTACTTACTGAAGACTTACTTTGCAGGAGACATTATATGTTCATTCTTAATTGTACTAATCATAACATCAGAAAAAGATTAAATGATCTCATAAAAGCAAATACAACAGTTTAAAGGTGCTATATTATGCAAGATTCTTGTGACTCTTGTGAGCTTTAAGCCATATTATAATGCTGTTACTTCATCAAAAAGCATACCTGGAGTTGTGTTTTGTTTCATTCACACATTTGCATTTGAGATATCTATTATTATTATTATTCTCCAAAGCTCAAAATGCTCTGTTCCACTTTGTGATAACATGAAGATCTAGTGTTCATTAAAGATTGGCAATACCATGAAAGAAATTATCAAAATTGTTCTAGTGAAGCTGTATAAATTTTAAAAACACAGTGGAGCACTTCCTGCATTACGACATGACATCACAAGGTGGAATAGACTGTTTTCCTGTTAAAGAGAAGAACTCAACCTAAATATGCCAGATTTGTGTGTTAAACATGTCTGAATGGAACAAAACACAAATTCAAGTATGTTTTTGATGAGGAAACAATGTAACAATAATAGATCAAAAAATAGCATAATATAGGACCTTGAATATAATGTAATTTCCTCATCATAAACATAGCTGGAGTTGTGCTTTGTTTTATCCACATGATGAGTATGTTAATGATTATGTCACTGACAATAAAGTGTTTTCATAAAAGGAACAGATGAACGAATGAATGAAAAATGAGTAATCCTGCATATATTATTTTGTTTGCTCAGTTGCTCCAGCTGATGTCATGTGGTGTAATCTGCTCGAGAAAGTGCTCCTCATTTGAACACATTTGTAATATGTCAGCTGTAGATAGTGTATATCAGACGCTAGTTTGATACAAGATAAAATAACCTGTTTATTTGCCACACTTTGGGGGAATTTCAGTGTAGCAACAGTAAGTAGCAGCAGTAGAGTAGCCAAAGCATGTACTCGTAAAAATGTTACTTTAGAATACTATGACTTAAGTAAAAGAACAAATTAGAGGTTCAAGAAATTTCTCAAGTAAGAGTGAAAAAGTTGTTGAAGTATTGCTCAAGTATGGTATATCTTATATTTTCTAAGATTCTGTCCAAAGCTCAATAAATATACAAAAGCATGATGCAAAACTTTACATAACAACTTGACAAACCTGGTGTGATGTGAATAAATATGTTATGTGTTAGCAGTTAATACCCCATAGCAGCAAAACATCCCCTCTTTAAGAATATGATATGATTCATTAGTATGAAATTCTACTAGATAATTAAACATTCAAATATACTAGTTGCTTTTATGAAATAGACAATATATAAAGCTCGTTGCTGAGTTGTGCTTTGTCTATCCCCCTTCTTCTCTTCAGGTATGCCTTCAAAACCAGGAAATGTCCAGAAAATTTCAATGAGGCAAAGTTCATTGGCTTCACCATGTACACCACCTGCATCATCTGGCTGGCCTTCCTGCCCATCTTCTACGTCACCTCCAGCGACTACAGGGTAATCGGTTAATCAGTTACATAATTCGTTCACAAAATTAAATACAATGCACAAGATGACCTTTCTGTACTGTTCTATTATACTAATGATGATACTGAACTGTGTTAAGCATTTTGGGACTAACCTTGGGTTCAATCCTCAACTGTGTGAGACTAAACGATGACTAAACTTAAAGTTGCATTGTGCCACTTTTCTGGTGGAGGGTCCATCACCTGCTTGTCTCCATGGAGATGTTATTGCTTTGCAGGAATGTTCCAGGGAAGCATTTATTCATTACAAGTGTTTCTGTCGCTCAAAAATACAATGATTCTCTCTGTGTATAGGTTTGCATCTCCACAGATCTGACATGCAATGTAACCTATAGTTGTTTCTCTTGAGATAGAAAGGTTTAATCTCTACTGTGGAACTTTCTAGACAAAGAAATAACATCTCCATGTAGACAAGCGGATAATGGACCCTTCACCAGAAAAGTTGCGCAATGTGCCTTGAAACTTATGCAGTCAGAACTGGCTGAATGAAAACATCTAATAGTGAATTTTCTGACAAACATTGCAATTGTTATTAAATTCGCAATTAGGGCTTTAATAATAGAATTATGTCCAAAGTTCACCTTTTAAACATTTCTAGGAAAATTGACATAAAAGAAAAAGAAATGATGGTACTTCAAAAACTGCAGTCTTTGTGAATTGTTAATTGCACCCATTTCAATTAATCTTGCAGCCAGATTCATAACACTTTGAGAATGCCTGAACTAGTCTTGTCTGATCTCAGAAGCTAAGCAGGGCTGAGTCTGGTTACTATGTGGATGGGAGCTCGTTGAAAATACCAGGTTCTGCGGTGGGGCAGCAATGGCTCAAGTGCATAGTGCCATTGTGTCCTTAAGCAAGACACCTTGCCTAGTATGAGGTGTGTATGAGTGTTGGTAGTGATCTGAGGGGCAGATTGTGCAGACTGGCAGCTTTACTTCTTTCAGTCTACCCGCAGGGCAGCAGCGGCTACCATAATTTTCTGGAATGAATGAATAATGCAATGTAAAGTGTCTTTGTGCGTCATCGAAGGAGGAATAAATCTGGAAAATTACTATTATTAAACTCTAAATTATTAGTTTGGGTGATAGATGCCGGTTAGAGTCTGACCATACTTACACATTCACCTCAGGAATTCACATTATTGATTTTTCCAAATGTCTGAATACATTTGCAACTGATTTGGGAACTTTTGCAATGCACCATAGTTCTTGCATCACAAATTCATTTTAAAGTGGTGTCACAGCATTACATCAAATTGACAGTCTGTAGGGTCTGTCCTAACGAGACTTAAACAGAAAAATGCTTGTTTAAATCCTGCGAGTCAGAGAAGTCACCAAACTGGAGAGACAAGGAAGGCAGGTGGAAAGGGTCTAAGCAGTTATAACAGGGTGACAGAGGGGGAGAGTGCATATACATATATATATATATAGAACAAATGCCCGAGCCACATCAGCTGGCTCCTCTTGACATGGAGGAGCAGCAGCTCTACTCCAAGCTCCTCCTCTGTGGCAATCTTGTTTTGGACATTACCCAAAGCTCTTGACCACAGGTGAGGGTAGGAACGTAGATTGGTAAATTGAGAGCTTTGCCTTCCGACTAAGCTCCCTCTTCACCACAATGGTCCAATACAGAGACCACATCAGTGCCGACACTGCACCGATCTGCCTGTCAGCTCATGCTTCATCTTCCAATCACTCGTGAACAAGATCCTGAGATACTTGAACTCCTCCACTTGAGGCAGAGACTCTCCACCCATCAGCAGAGATGAGATCCTGTGGTCCGCAAACCGGACCCCCTCTGGCCCCTGACTGCACCTAGAAATTCTGTCCATAAATATAATGAACACAACCGATGACAAAGGGCAGCCCTGGCAGAGTCCAGCATGCACCAGGAACAAGTCTGGCTTACTGCCGGCAATGCTACCACAGCTACAAGGACCGGACAACCCTTGGCAAAGGGCTCCAAACCCCATAGTTCCAGAGAACTCCCCACAGGACACCACAAGGGACACGATCGAATGCTTTCTCCAGATCCAAACTCCTGAACTCCCATGAACCCTCAAGCACTTGATGGAGAGAATAGAGCAGTCGGGACGAAAACCACACTGCTTCTCCTAGATCCAAGGTTCAACTATCGGTCAGATTCTCCTCTCCAGTACCCTGAAATAGAATATTCTATTATCTGTGCCTAATGTGAATTGGACTTCTATGGAGTAAGAAAGCTGTCAAAAATATTCGTGCGCATAAAATAGAAATCCGTGCGTATTTGGGAAATCCGTGCATATTTGGCTGTAGTTGCGCATAAAATAAATATTTGTAAACTCTCAAATGAGTCCAGTCGTACATAAAATATATTGTGTGTATTTTATCCATCAGAATACGAATTGAAAAATTACGACGTCATGAATTACAATCACGAAATGAAAATTTACGATTACGCTTTCATCAGTACGAAAACGAATTCACAGACGGAACTTTACTGTCAAAAATACGTCATCACTTCACAGACATTATCCATCGAGCAGAAGAAACATCGATCAAGATCAAGACTGCACATGCTCAAGTTTGTAGCAGAGGGTAAAAACAGAGTAATGGCACAAGAAGCTACAACAGCGACCAACAATTGTGTTAATTAAAATCTATTGTAAAAATGTCTTGAATTCGGGAACCGAACGCTGCTGTATAATATTGTGTAGAAACACCTCCTTTGAACGGGAAATTGCACCTATATGTTAGATAACATAGTGGTAGCCAATTGGCTAACATCCGACGTAACGTTCTCCCAGGGCTAATTAGCAAATATCAGGTTCTCTGTATGTTTAGATTAAAACATTCACGACTCCAGCCACAGCGAGCATCAGTCAGTCTTCACTTCAGCTGCATTTCAGACAATGGGTTATACATGAGTTATAATGGGTTATAATTAGCAAATCCATCCACGTTACAGTGACGTTAAACTTACCGGTAAATACTGTAAACATACCAAGGTGTTGCCTGTAAACACGAACATTAATTGATGCTGGAAGCTGCATTAAACTGTAATGTGTAACATTTCATTGGCTGTGACGTCTGTAACCAGGACAGTTTGGTAGTGTTTGGTGTAAACTGGGACATTTCAGCGTCCCGAGGAACTTTTGGTGGCATTTCATGCGAAAAATGCAGCGACTGACTGATGCTCGCTGTGGCTGTAGCCTTGAATGTTTTAATCTAAACTACAGAGAACCTGATATTTGCTAATTAGCCTGGGATACGTTACGTCGGATGTTAGCCAACTGGCTACCACTATGTTATCTAACATATAGGTGCAATTTCCCGTTCAAAGGAGGTGTTTCTACACAATATTATACAGCAGCGTTCGGTTCCCGAATTCAAGACATTTTTACAATAGATTTTAATTAACCCACTTGTTGGTCGCTGTTGGAGCTTCTTGTGCTATTACTCTGTGTTTACCCTCTGCTACAAACTTGAGCATGTGCAGTCTTGATCTTGATCGATGTTTCTTCTGCTCGATGGATAATGTCTGTGAAGTGATGACGTATTTTTGACAGTAAAGTTCTGTCTGTGAATTCGTATTCGTACTGATGAAAGCGTAATCGTAAATTTTCATTTCGTGATTGTAATTCATGACGTCGTAATTTTTCAATTCGTATTCTGATGGATAAAATACACACAATATATTTTATGTACGACTGGACTCATTTGAGAGTTTACAAATATTTATTTTATGTGCAACTACAGCCAAATATGCACGGATTTCCCAAATATGCACGGATTTCTATTTTATGCGCATGAATATTTTTGACAGCTTTCTTACTCCATAGACTTCACTGTTACATGCATCCAAAACATATCAGCTTCTCCTCCTGTGTTATTGGGATCTGTGAAATTCAAACCACAACACCTCAATTGTAGCTTCTGGGTTTACATGTATTTTGAAAAATTTAAATTGTTTAAATTGAACTAGGCTAGTTATCCAGTTTCCTGACATACTTTTTGGCATTTTATTTATTTGGTTTGATTGATTGATTGATTTTTTAAATTTACTTATTGATGGTGACAGATCATATAATAAATAACAAAATATAAAAGAATAAAAAACTCACAAAAAATATTAAATTTATGAGTGATGCGCAATTTAGTTTTGAGTTATCCAATATATTTATTCAGTATGCCTCCCCACTTTGCTGCCGTGCTTTGACTCCCGATTTCATTTTAATTCTGCATTCCCAACACCGCTCCTGCTTACAAGTCAGTCCAAGTCAAATATGTCACACTTCATTTTCCAACTTTTTTCTAAACACCCCTAAACGCTGCACAGTGGAGATGACAGGCTTGCTGAGAGTGCTGACACATGTCCAGGTTTAGCAGTAAAGAGTGGAGGGGAGAGTGTGCACCCCTATCCCGTACCCCCTCCACACACACGCACACACACATACGCACACACACATACGCACACACACACACACACATATGCACAATCAAAGGGCATAGCAGAGGCCTTGGAATCTGACTTTAAGATGAGTGAGGTAAACAAACTCCAGCCGCCAGAGCAGAGAGGAGGCAGGAGCCATGATGATTACTGATTGGGGATGCACAAGGCTGCTGCTGCTGTTGCTGCCGTGGTAACCTGGAGAAGCAAAAAAGACTATTTGATCCAGTGGAAAATATATTCTTTACAGATGAAAACTCCACAAATACTAGAGGCAGGTGTGGGTAATGAGTTATGTGGCTACAGTTACTTGAGTAAACCACAGCAAAGGGTATTTTAAAGAGTTTGTTTGTTTGTGAGTCTTATTTTTCTACTGTAGTTATAACATGACAATAATCCTGATTGTCCTAATTATTTAGATGAGTACTAATTAATTAGATTTATTTTTTGTTTCCCGTTGTTTGAGATTATTGTATTTTGATTAAATGTGATTACAATTAGCAATAACTGCACCTTAATAAAGCAAGAACCTAGATTTAATTCATAATAAGCAAATTGTTTATTGGAATTGTAACTACTTAACTGGGGTGTTAGGATATTAATAAAGTAGTTACTAAGCCTGAATCACTGTCCATTATAAGTTTGCCATTTTAAAAGTTACTGGCTCCGATTCCACAGGTTGGTAGTGTGATTCCAGCTCACACCGATGAATACTGTCTTTGTGTCCTTGGGCAGGGCACTTAACCCCCTTTGCCTCCAGTGTCTCTGTACACTGGTGTATGAATGTGTGTGTGAATGGTTTCCTTAATGTAAAACGTTTTTGAGTGATTTGTAGATAGAAAAGCACTTTATAAATCTGATTAAGTACACCTTAATAAGCCTTAATAAAGACTTAATTCATAATGAACAAATAGTTAATAGGTTAACTAATTTCTTAATTTGGTGGTTAAGTTTAGCATATTAGTTAAGTTACTTATTAATAAGTCTGAATCAGTCATCGTAAACTATTTTTTTATTATGAGTTAAGTGTTTGTTGATGCTTTATTAAGGCTAATTAAGGTGTAGTTATTATAAATTCTTTCAAATTATGACCCAAATAATCACAGTTAGGTCTATTTTATTACATAATCAACTTGGGCTATTTTGAATGTCTGACTATTTTTTCTGTTTAATTCATATTTTTTCAAACAAAATTGGACTTCATTCTTGACACATTGTTTTGTCCAGATATTTTATCACCATCCTTGTTAAGTCTACCATTCACTAGTCCCGTTTTCTGTTGAAATTATATTTTGGAAGAACAAGTGAAAAACAAATCCAAAAAACATGAGGACACTTGGAGGACACCATTAACACATATCTGACCAACCAATTACACAGGAGCAACTGAGTGCATTGGGTTTGATGATTGACTAGAGATTTTTCACACCTTTTCATAATATGACACTTTATATGGCTCCAAGCACATATCCGGTGAGCAGTTGTTGGGTGGGTGAAGCAGACTTGTTGATTCAAAAAATGACAGAACGCTGGAAAGATTGGTTCAAGATTACATAAAAACAACACTATTCCAATCAATCAGTCAATACAAACGCCACCGCAGTGCAAGTCTAGGGCACTTTCTCCACAGCTTGAGCCAGGATCTTGGTCCATATTAGCTTAGCAAGACTATATAAGACAAATGCATCATTATCAGTATTAATTAAAGGTCCTGTATTACAGAAAATTTAATCCTGTAAGATTTAAACTATGTTAGAATGTTGTTTCCTCATCAAAAAAATACTTGGAGTTGTGTTTTGTTTTCTTCACACATGTTTGAGTAAGTCTGGTTTATTAGACCGTCTACATCTCCAAAGCTCAAAGAACGAGATTAGCAAATCTTTTACCTTTTGGTCAGTGAGATTAGCAGGGCTGAAATCATTCAAATGATTTTTGTGAAGGGGTATGGAGGTTAAAAACACAGTGGAGCACTTTTCATATTACCACACAACATCACAACCTATAGCAGAGCGTTTTCTGTTTGAGAGAAGAACTGATCCTAAATATGGAGGGTTTGCATGTTAAACATGTGTGAATGAAACAAAACACAACTTCAGGTATGTTTGTGATAAGGAAACAACTTCAGGTCATCTTCAGATCAGAAAATTGTGACACCTGAAGTAGCCATATTATTTTGATTATAGTAAAGTGTAATTCTATATTCTGAAAGTATCTGTGTTTGAGCATGGTGTTATGTTACACAGAAACACTAGATCACTTCAGGACAGTCCTTTGGTAGCACTTGTAACTGTAGTTTTTCATCCAGAGACGACACAGGAAGTTGAAGTGCACTTTATTATCTCGGAAACTGTTAAATTAAGGTTTTAAAAAGGTAATGCATTCAGCTCTGGGACTGAATGAGCGCTCAATGCTGACATGAGAGATTTGATCGCCAAACAAACCACTATCCGTTGAGTGATTCAGGCAGATGGAGTTTGGGCTCGCTGTGTGTCCCCAGTGATTTTTGTTGATGAAGTCTTGTATTGATCCAGAGGTAAACCCACAGCTCCGAGCCACTGCCAAGTAAACAAGCCCATGGAAATAATTATTCAGCAGGTTTCTCAGATTCGATGATGCTAAAGCACTACGGTTATCTTACATTAGCTTGTAGTCTCGCACTGATAATTGCATCAGAAACTGTTTAAATAGTAATGAATAGATCAACAGTGGTCTACTGGGTTGGGTGTTCGCTAACTGATAGAGAGGTTTCTGATTCAGACCTCGCTTTAAGTGCATATGACATGTTTTTCTAATTGGGGTTGCACCGATACAAAACTGATATCAGATATCGGGCGCTGATTTTAAAAATTTCGATGGATCGGCAATCGGTCACTAAAATATCAGTCTGATCGATATCCCATTTTGGTATATAAAATGGTGTAAAAAGGCAATATTGTGTAAAATATCTTGTAATATTGAACTTGTATTGTATTTTCAAAGCAGTTCTGTAATTACTTTATAAGATTAAGCCATTTATGGTTAAAGGAAATTGGTATCATTTGATATTGAGTATCGACATATTCTTAAACCCATAGTATTGACATAAGTATCAGAACATAAAAAGCTGGATTGGTGCATCCCTATTTCAAATAATTTTTCTTGGTAACAGTTATGGAATTACCTCTATGTATGCATCTACTGCCAGTGGCCAACCAGGAAGTATTTTTTCTATCAAATTATTAAATATAATTAACTTAACTAGGTTTCAGTGATATGTCAAGTGCAAGAGTCTCCAAACTGTAGCTCAGGAGCTACCAGTAGCGTTCCACCCCCTTCCAAGTAGCTCGCCGAAGGATTTCTGAATTACACATATTGTCCTGAATAAGTAAACTTTGATTGATTAAATGTCTATTACCATTTTTTGATACCTGACTAATAAATGGATAATAGTTTATGTTCTATACGCATCTAACTGTATCTCATTTAAGGCTCACCGTGACACTTTAATATACTCCATTTCTTGTGACCGCTAAAACTAGAAGCTCTCTGTCATTTTCATTAAGTAAAGGTAGCTCACAAAAGGAAAACGTTTGGAGACCCCCGATGTTGTGAGTCTAATGTCATATACACTTCCAATGAAATCCGTTGAACTACTACTAATTTCTTAAATAACAACTAATAATAATATAAGGTCTTTAACCAACAACTCATACTCCTTACTGCAAAAAACTAGGGTGAGTTAGTTTCAGTTTAGTTTCATACAGATTTGGTGAAATATATTCACGCCTGAAAACTAAAAGATTTTTTTTGTAATGAAATATACCTGGACAATTTAGAGATTACACAGACGTCTTCAGACTAGGACCAAAAAAGCCCTGCACCAAGCAAAACCTCGCAACCCCACTGTGACTAAATGTTTTCCTGAATACAAATCAGTTGTCCTGTAAACTGCTATTCTAGGCCCCCTGGATGACCTTTTAATGCAGTCTTTATTTCTGTCTTCTTTAATTTAGTTGATATTGTAGTAATTTATTTCGAGTGGCCCAGATGATCATAAAGCTTCATCTTGTGTTTGAAATGACTTTGCTCTGGATTAGCATAAAGCAGATCCATCACTGTCCGAAATCTTAATCACGCTGTCTGCTCCTCAGCTCTGACCGTCTCTGGGGTCAGACCTCTTACATGTTTTTTTTTTCTTTTGTCACAGGTGGTTATAGCTTTGTATGCAGGCCTGGTACAAGCCAAAAGTTCACATTTTAAAGTGGGACTAACCACCTAAACTCCACCAACAACCACATTTCAGATAGAGCTGTTAAACTGGGCAGTACCAAAAGGATTCAAGAAAAAAAGTGACAGAAGACAAAGGGGGGGTATAATTGGTCTAACAGGTATCCACACTTCAAACTCCATCCCTGCAGCAAGGTGTTATTAAGGTAATCATAAAGGGCAGTCTTGTGCAATATCACCAACTACTGGAAATTGCAGCGGTCACTGGAGTCAGCACAAACTTAGATTTTGGCGTTTTTGACAAGAAAGCTGCAAATTTACCTAGTTAACTAAAGTTGCCACAAAAAAGACTAGGTATAGTAAACCAACGGTTCCCAACTTTTCAGACAGCGACCCCCAAATGTTAGGCTACAGATGACCTGACCCAGTCAGTTTACTTTCTGTTTATTTTAATAGTCATCCTTGGTTTACTCACGTTATTACTGCAATGATATGTTTAACAAATGAACTAAAAGTAAAAAGAAATACTTTCATTAATATAGGCTATTTCAAAATAAATAAATAAATAAATAAATAAATATGGAAATCTCAAGATCTATTTGACCAATCACATTGTTCCTCATATGTTCAGATCCCTTCATTCTCTTCTTTAGTCCTCCATGTACTGCCCAGTTTAACAGCTCTATCTGAAATGTGGTTGTGGGCTTAGTTTAGGTGTTTAGTCCCACTTTAAACATTTCTCTATTTGTAATGACTTGAAAACCATAAAAGTCTGTAGCCCTGTCGTACGTAGATTGTTTCATTTTCAGCGTGTTTTCTCAGGTTTATTTCTCTGCTAACTGTCTCCCTCTCTCACATGCAGGTGCAGACCACAACCATGTGCATCTCGGTGAGCCTGAGTGGATTCGTGGTGCTGGGCTGTATGTTTGCTCCCAAGGTCCACATCATCCTGTTTCAGCCACAGAAAAACGTGACCAGCCACAGACTCAACCTCAACCGCTTCAGTGTGAGCGGGGCCGCCACCACCTACGCCTCCCATGGTATGCAACACCGGGCTCCCAACATTTCTACACCGTATCAAATACTACATGTTGTCTAAATAATTACAGTTTTAATGCAGAGATCAAAATCAGACATTTTTATTTCAGGTGCGAGGTTGCTTCTTGTCTATGGTGAAAGAAATGCTTTGGCTAGAAAATATTGTATGGTGCAGTTGGGTGATAAGCTTAACCCTTCATAGATCTAAGCAGGAGATCAGAATCAGAAATTTTCTTTAAAGGTGCACTGTGTAACTTTTTTTACATCCACCACTTGCTTCTTGTCCATGGTAATAGAATTACTTTACCTGGAAAGTACTGTTCTATGGTGGGTGCAATACGGTGATGAACTTAACTCTCCATAGAGATAAGCAGATGATGCATTCAGTGCACATTACAGGTTAGTTCTGTGGAGAGGTGACTATGCACTGAGGTGTTTTGAGCAAACAAAACACCTGTAATCAAACAAATGCCAAATATTGTGAATGGGACAACAAGCTCTTGAGACAGAATTCCCACAAGACTGATCTCGTGGGATTTTTGCCTAAAAAAAGAGGTTAATCAAGCTGAGCAACTTCTCTTGAGAAGCTGTAATAAAGCAGTGCTACAGTGACAGCAAAACTATAAAATTAAATGAATAAAAAGTTGTAAAGCCAAAAGTGTGAACTGAATGGCACAATTTATTTATTAACATCAAAATTATATCAAAATTTCGTCTTGTCTCATTTTCGTGAATTGAATCTCACGGCATGTCTCATCTCGTACAAATTGTGTCTCATCCCATCCTTACCAAATATGTATAACAAAAATTACATATTGTTCCTTTACATTTTAACTACATAAAGTTATGCTGCTTGAGAACTAGATTTAGACAGAGAATTTATTTTCCATCAAAAACAGGGCAGTATTGTGAATATTTTTTCTGAAAAATATGCTAAGTGTATTTTCTCTCATCTGGGTCTAATCAAGTTAGATTTTTTTAGCCTTTTCCGCTGTTATGACACTTCAACAAATTGCTTGGAGAATTATTTTAAACACCCCAATAAGTCCTGATCACTTTCAGCAAGTCACTGGACTGATAATGTGTAGAACTCAATTCAGACTGCTACACTTATCAATCTAATGAGCACATTTCCAGTATCATTTTGGTGTAATTACCACTTTGAGTCATAAAAAGTGCATTGCATAACTTCATAACTTTTGGTAGAGGGTCCGCCGTCTGCTTGATTCCATGGAGATGTTACTGTTGTGGAATGTTCTAAAGCAGACATGTCAAACTCAGGCCCAGGGGCCAAATTTGGCCAGCAATATAATTATATTTGGCCCACGAGATTATATCAAACATGTATTAGAGCTGACCCGCCGGCTACAGATACACATACAGAGACATTTTTTTTGTTATTAATTTATATTATGCTTGTTCTGGATTCATTGTTTAAGCAAAACTATTATTAAACATTTATTTTAATAAGAAAAGGTTTAATATTACATATCTCGAAAGAAGAGAAAACATGCAGATGTTGTTGAAATTTTGCAATAAATAATTAGTCCCAGCCCATGACTTAGTCCCAGTTTTTAATTTTGGAATTTGAGTTTGATATCTCTATTCTAAAGTATGGCATTTCATTCAACCATTTCCCATGGAAACAAGCAGGCCAAATCACAAATTACAGGTCAGATATGTGGAAAAATGGGCCTGCTCATGTTAATAATGAAAGTTTTTGTGGTAATTTTGGGTAATAAAAACATTATTGAATAAATACAGTATATATTTGTTTAATGCCATACTGTGGAACATCTCAGGCAAAGCAATAACATGATTATTAAGACAAGCAGATGGCAGATCCTCCACCAGAAAAGTTACACAGAGCACTTTTAAAAGGGCTTTCTTTTGTGTACAGTCCAGATAACAAATAATTAAATTAGTACATAATGTCAGTAACTCCTTCGACTCTTATCTCCTTCTGTACAGTGGTAGTAAGACGGTTTTCCCTCATTTTGACAGCAGAGAATGTCAAAATGTGTCACTTTGTTGTATTGTTCTAACCCAGTGCCACACTCCTGCCACACTCTAAATCTGGCCCTGTATTCCTCCTCTTCCTCCTCTTCCTCCTCCTCTGCAGCAGTTATCATTTATGTATGATTGACAGGTTCAATCATGAGCTAGTTAGACAGAGGGCTCCAGCTGACAGCCTGCACTGAGCTCTGCAGAGGGAGGGGCCCCCGGGAGCCTGACAGATCCTGAAAAACACTAGACTATACACTGTCACTACATACAATTGTGATTGCTGAGTACAGACTTCACATGCTTACTTTTAATGTTTCTTTCAGTCAAGCATGAGAGATTATTTTCCTGGTTTGTAATTTTTCATTATTTCAGTTCCTTTTTGTTTCCTTTATCAGATGGAGCTGTGACACCTCTAATGGATCTCGGGTTTGTGCCTAATGTTAAAGCAGACATATTATGCAAAATCGACTTTTCAGAGCTTTGAATCATGTTATAGCTGTTTCCCCTCACCATTAACTCAGCCAAAGTTGCGTGTTTGAGCAATCTTTAATCAATGACACACATCGGCAGCATCAAGTAGTAATTTTAGTACAAATGAAAAAAATCTGTGAGTCATTAGCATGATGTGCAACTATCATGACATGCCAATAACTTCATGGCTCTTTACTCATTTACAACGTCAGCTCCCATTGGGCGCCGCAGTTTTCTAATGCATTTGTTTGAAGCTGATTAGATGAATATTGTGATTTAAAAATCAAATACACCAAAATGATCAACAAGTGTTATGGATTATAACTTTATAGCAGGTGCAAGCACAATACTGTATGTCTTCTTTAAATCAATGGAAATTTTATTATGTTCACTAATATTAAATTCGAAAGTTAGCATTCATTCAAGTGTTTTGACACTATAGAATAAATGTATTTACCAGCAGTGACCCAGCATCTTATCGGGTTGTTTCACGGCTCTTTTGTTTTTCTTTTTGACTTTGTTTTGGTTAATATATTTATTTCTATGAACGTTTTTCACTGCTGTCATAAAAAGATTTTGGACTTGATACCAAGCTATATAAACTTTGAAAGACTTTGTTCCTGACTTTTATTGTGCTTAGTTCAGGAAAACATCATTATCGAAACTCACTGCATGATAAATGAAAGATTTTTTGTTTTTTTTGTAAGAACCATTTAGGCACGTTGTTGACAATGCCAGACAGTTGGTGCAACATCAGAGTAAGAGACGAGACTAAGTGAGTGGAACAGTTCCTCACTTATGGTTCAAACTCTAGTACATGGCTTTAAACTGTGTGTTGCCAGACAGTACTCACAATTTAACAACAACACTTTATTTTAACAATATTAATTTTAGCTAGTCATGTTAAATATTATTGGCCTATAATATTGAATACAAATAGGGGTAGCTAAATGTTAAAAAACTATTTTTGATGAAAAACATATCTTTAGTTTTGGTTTGTTTCATTTCATTAACACACAAGCCCCTCATATTTAGGCTGAGTTCTTCTCTCAAACAGAAACACATGCTAATACAAGAAGTGCTCCACTGTATTTTTAAACTCCATACATCATTTGGATGATTTCACGGAGCTTTGGAGATATAATTAACCTGGGTTACTCAAATATAGGTGAATAAAACAAAACACAACTCTGGGCATATTTTTGATTAAGTAACAATATTCTAAAAGCTCACAAGAGTCAGTTAGAAATGAGGTTATTTGAATATTTTATATGAAAGTACAATGTAATCTATAAAGAAAAATGGATCTTTCCTCCATCTGGGATTATGGCATCATCACATTCTACAATCTGAAAACTACCATTGGAACATGTAACTGAATGTATATGTCCATACTAACTGATCTCTACTTTTGTGCCTGCAGCTTCTGTGAGTGCGCACTTTGTCCCAGCGGTGTGTAACGGGAGGGAGATCGTCGACTCCACCACGTCCTCCCTGTGAGCCCCCAGCCCTGCCCCTCGACTGTTAGACCACGCCCACCGACAAACCCTGCTCCGTCGGACTCTTTATACATAAATACCACTGCACACACATGGAGCTCAGATATGGGGAGCACTACTGGTTGTAGAGGTAAAAGTACCATTTGTTTTTCCCATAGACTTAAAAAGGTGTGTTAAAAGCATCAGGGGGGTTACCAGTGTTTCTGTAAATGTACTCTTTAAAAATATTAAATAATCATGAGTACACTGCAAAAAAAAAAAAAGAAGAAAAAAAAAAAAAAAAAAAGAAAAGAAAAGAAAAAAGAGGCTAAAATTACTTCTGAATTTGAGTGATTTTAACTTGGAAGGTGGGAAGGGTGTGTACCTTCAACAACCTCGCTCCTGATTGGCTCCTGATTGATACATATGCTTTGAATTCTATATATGGAGTTGTAAATTACAACAATGGCTGAAATTTAGCTGTTGTGCTCTGGCATATTTATGAAGAAGCTGCTTGCTGACACATTGTTTAGTATGCACTGATTCAAATAATTACACAAATAATTTAATTAAATTTGCTGTTAGCCTCGATTGCCCCCATTTGGCCTTAGTTAAACTATGGGTGATGTCAACACTCCGGTCAGTCCATTGCTAATGCAGTCTTTGATATGGCCAGAAAAAATATTTATATTGAATCTATTCCAAAACTCTAAATTAAACTAAATGCATTTAAGCACTTAAAACTCAAATTTAGGAGAATACATGCAACTCGAATTTCGGACTTCCGGTCATTGCACATTGCATACTGGGAAGGATTTTCCGAAAAAGTGAGCATCAAACTGCCATGTTTGTTTTCCCAGTGGGATGTGTCTATTGACAAAGCTGATTTTTTCAAGTCTTTTGAACCATATCGCTTTTGTTTCTGGTTCTGATATTGTCATATGTTAGTTTTGGGATTGGGACATTGTAATTGTGTGGTTGTTGGATGTCCCACTGTCGAAAACAGGCTTTGGAAGTTTGCAAACTCCATAACTGTAAAAGGGGAATCAGATCTGTGTGACTGCAAACCTCCGTTCAAACTGTTTCCCTTCCCAATGGAATAGAAAAATAGTGAAAGGCGAAGGCGATGGGCAGTACTGATACACAGGAAGGATGAACAAGGTAACCTTTTGCTGCTTAAGAAATTATCCAGACTTTGCAGCCAACATTTTGTTTGTGGAGCGCCATCAAAGCGGGATCCCGTTTGTTAAGCGAGAGGTGCAGAAGACAAATAGGCTGAGGTCGCACTTTCTTGTTCATCTGGTTTTACAGCAACATCGCGTCTTGGTTGCTTTGCAGTGGAAGATGTTTCTTGGCGAACACCTGGTGCCTTTCGCTTTGGTGTTGACTTTTTATATTTGTAACCAAGGTTGAGTGCGGAATCGGGATTTTACTTTGATGGTGCTCCACATACAAAATGTTCACTGCAAACTTGAGATTCTTAGGCAGCAAAAGGTAACCTTTTTCGTCCTTCCTGTGTATCAATACTGCCCATCGCCTTTGCCTTTCACTATTTTTCTATTTCCGTTGGGAAGGGAAACAGTTTGAACGGAGGTTTGCCGTCACACAGATCTGATTTTCCTTTTGTAGTTATGGAGTTCGTAAACTTCCAAAGCCCATTTCTCGAGCCGTTTTCCGGTGTTAGGACATCCAACAACCACACAATTACAATGTCCCAATCCTAAAACTAAAATATGACAATATCAGAACCAGAAACAAAAGCGATATGGTTCAAAAGACTGGAAAAGATCGGCTTTGTCAATAGACGCATCCCACTGGGAAAACAAACATGGCAGTTTGATGCTCACTTTTTTCGGAAAATCCTTGCATGTATTAAGAAAGTAATAAGTAATAGTAATAGGTAAGAAGTAATTTTGACTCCTATTTTCAGATTTTGCAGTGTTGGTTTGAATCATGCTTTTAAACTGTTAATACACTTTCAGTTTCTGTGGGAAGAATGAATGTGAAATTGTTTTTGTGCCAACCCAGAGGCACTGTGGAGCTCCATACACGCACAAACAGACCAACCAACGTGTCTCTGTGGACTTAGAACTGTATTGTATCAGATGTAGAAATGTGTAACTAAAATTAAATTATTTTCTAGGGTTGTACATACAGAGAATTGACATTGTTGTAAGTAGAGAAACAAAAGAACAAAAAATAACAATACGTTTTTAGGAGGAATTTTTTGGAGCCTGTTTTGATAGCTTTGTTATGACGATGCAGTGTACATAAATGTGCTTGGACCCTGCTCATCTGCAATACTCCCTTTCTATTCATGCTTTTTGTAGTTCTCATTGTAATAATGACTGATGTTTGCATTTCTAATGTGTCTGTATATTTGTATTATACTACTGATGGTTGAAACAGCACAATCTGGGAGCTATTGTCATTTAAAGGGGCTACATTATGCTAGCATTAGCTGTAGCGTTAGCCGTAAATCTTGGTTTGCTCCATGAAAATATAATAAGATCTAGAAGATGAATCCAAGATGGTGCTGTATTGTTTTCAATGGCCTGTGCTCATTGACACCATGGATCTGATTGACACATATAAGATTTCTTCTTTCTGAATTACTGCCTGAATACCGGCCTTATGCTGCCAAACATATAACGTCAAATGTGCAGTTCTGGCCAATCAGAGCGCTAGCTGATCGTGCAGAGCTAGGCTAAATCTTATGAAGCTAACTTTCAGGCATTTTAACGATTTAAAAACTCAAAAAAGTTCATATTGTAAAATTACAGAACAGTTCCTACATAATCTGTCAATGCCCTGTCATCCGAACACAGGCTTTGGTTTACACAAAATGCATTGTGCTCTGTGGGAGAATTCTTTCTTCTGGGGAGCACCTATGGAGCAGCCACTGGTCGATCTCGCCCCGGGACAGAGGGGGAGTGTCTTATCCAGTTCTTATTATAGATCTATGATTTGCTCGTCAGCAGGAGGGGGGCTACATGGGGCCAGAAAGGACATGTGCAGCCCACCATCATGATGATTGGTCAGAAATGATCACATGAACACAGCCAGCTACAGTGAGCAGGGACGACGTAATGTGGAAATTCATTTAAGATGGACTCATTGCCTCTTTTGTACAGAAACCCAATTTGTACCTTCAGTTGAACTGTGTGTGTCGACACACAGCACTGACACTATTTAGGGAAGAAAGAGTTATTACTGAGTAGGGTAAAATAAAGAACACTCTACAATAGTTTTACTTCATAAAATGTTAAAATATGTCAATATAGTGTTATTAGCTTTTCATTGAACACTAGTGTGAAAAAAAATCTAATCTTAATCTGTGTTAAATTCAGCTATGAGGAGTATTACACTTTACCAATGTTGAGCCTTCAACACTTTTTAAAAGTGTAGTTAACAAATTCTAGTGTGGAGCCTATATGATATGGTTAAGTGTTAAAATGAGCAATAAGAGTTGAACTGACTTTTGAATTTGCTGTGTGAAAATATTTTTAAGTATTTATAGGTATTTATATTAAGTCTACAGATTATATAGTTTATTTATATTACGTATATCACAAAACTAAGCATTCTAGCAAAGATCTTTGAATAGGCCGGTACCCTATTAGGCTGCTTGTTATCAGCATATAGGAGGGCTCAGTTTGTGATTAGCATGTAGCCTAAATGGGAAAAAATTTGGGCACAGGGCCTTTAAATAAGACAGGTTTAGTCAAAGGTACGAAAGGGGAAAACACATGGGCCATTGAGCTCAGCCATTTGAAAACTCAGTGCCACAGGATACAACCATTGATACAGTCACTGAACCAAAGCACCAGGCTTATTTCCAATGAAATATTATTAAGTTATATTATTAAGTTGTAAAAGGTAATTTAACATAATGTAACCCCTTTTTAATGGGACAAAGGGAGAAACAGGATTGAAAAGGGCAGCTGAGTGAACATGTACAAAATACTTGGACTAAAAACATTTGTTTACACATTTACATTCATGTGTTCTGATCTTTTAGTGTTGATTATGTTGTTGCTTTCGGTACAAATGTTATTTTTTCTATTTAATCATGGAATCCCTTTATCTGAGGGGCCGTAGTAGAGACGTGTTTCATAGAGCAGCCTCCTCCCTCTGTTCAGAGCTCAGAATGATCAGACTGGTTCAGAACATGGCCTTGGTTTAGCGTACACATGCATAATATTACAGACACTGCTGCTATGGAACTTGTCATTACACCCACGTCCACTGTCTCCTGAAAGTTGTGATATTATTCAAGTCATATAAAAATTGCACAACATAATATCTTGATTTTGCCTTTTTTTAATACCATAGGATGTCTTTGGATGTCTTGTCACTTCATATTTTATAACTTGAGATGTATATATGTATAGTAAACATGTGACTTTCCAGGACGCTATTGATACTTTGCAGTCAAGTCACACATGGACGGCGGTGGGGGGGTGCATGCATGTCTATGGAAGAATGTTCAGCAGTTACCATGGTGACGCAATGCCCAGTATGTTTTTAGATTATCTGAAAGCTCAAGAAGAAATGCAAAATGGATTTAAACAACACATTTGCAGGAGCCTGTGATCGATACGAGCGTCCATGGTCCCAAAATTGACTAACTGAAAAATTGTTGGCTATACTAGCAAGCTTGTGAGTGTTATTTGAAAGGGACCTGTTTAACAGCACAAAATCAGCTCATTGTAATTATAGCTAAACCAATTCTTTATGGTCACATTGTGTTTAAACATAGCTCAAATTAAAGTCTGATTTGAGTAATGAACCTTTAGACAGAGCAGTGCCTCTAGTTAGCTTCACCCCCCAGGGAATTATGTCAGCTGAAAAGTATCAATAGTTTATCTGTTTGATTTGGCGTGAAGCGTGGCTGTTGTCAACATGACTCTAGCAAAGAGATGTCTGTAGTGAAGAAAATTTAAACGTCCAGTGAAAGTATTTGGATTTCAAAAACATGCGGGAACAAAACATTACTATAATATAGGTACGAACAACACA